GAAGGCCAAAATAATGAATGTTACTTCTGAGATCAGCTTACAAAAATGACCGACTTCTGTCTTGTTTATCCTCTCCTGCTTGCTTGTTTGCTCACTGGATAAAGCCAGCTCCCCTACGTGAGCTGCCCTGCGCAGCGTTTCCTTTTGCAAGGAATGGAGTAACTGGGGCCAGTGGCCCATGAGGAGCTGCATCCTGTCCATAACCTTGGGAGTGACTTTAATAGTGGATCCTTCCCTAGTTGACTTGACCAGCCCTTTGAGAGACCCTGAGCTAGGTGACCCAGCTAAGTCATGCAAGATTACTGATGTCCAGAAACAGTGAGATAATTCACATTTGTTCCTTGAAGCCCCTGAATTGTGGGGTTATTTTTTGAGTTACAATAGGAAACTAGTGCAGTATTCAAATGGGCACTTAGGGGAGGGCTGATGTTCCATTATCTAAGTTGAATCTTGCAGGCAGCTTATGGAAGGACTAAAGCACGGTGATTAAGTCGTGTTTTAGAATGGCAGTATGAAAAATATTGATTTAATGGGGGAAGAAACATAGGTAATCTTGGAGGTAGCCTCAAATTTAAAAGCCACCCCTCCAAAGAAAAGGTCAGGGATTTTTAGAAGATAAAGACACAGGATAGCCTGAGGCCTGGAAAAGGTGATTTGAGGCAAGAAAAAGTGAGGTTATATGTAACTGGGGCTGCATAGTCAAACTCTATGGCTCTTCACAGGAAATGGTGATAACCAGCGTGATCTGAGGATGCAGATCTGGAAACTCCAATGTCAAAATGTCATCCATTGATTACCTGCCCAGGCCCTGATGAAGAGTTGCTGGTTTCAACCAGTTTGAAATAGACAAATTTCTTAGAACTATTTCAGTAATTGTTATCATAGCGAGCATACATTAGAGCTGTTAGTCACATACGTGTGTATATTTGCATTTGTGTGTATATAACCTAATTTTAGAAAGTATTACTTATATTGTACAAAATCACACTTAATTTCCATGTGCAATGCAATGTGATATTTTCTGTTCTGTTCCAGTTTTCCCAAAATGCTGATAGAAACCATCTGAACTGATTTCACAACCTGCCAACAGACCGTGACCCACAATTTGGAAAACACTGGCACAGCCAGGTGGTAAGCAAGGGAGGCATGCGGTGAAAGAGGGTATGAGTGGTTGAGTCCAGGAAGTCTGTCTTGGAGAAGAACATTCTTTATCTGCCTCTTGAAGGGGCCTAAGACCGTGTTGATTGGGGTCTAAGACAGTACTGACCTGGAGTTGGGACAACAGTATAAGTAAAAAGGCACAGACCTGGGAGTAAGCAGTGAGTTTAGGAGCCACTGAGAACAGAATTCTGATTTTTAAAAATAAAATAATGGGAGCCAGGCGTGGTGGCACACATCTGTAATCCCAGCATTTGGGAGACTAAGGCAGGAGGATTGTTGCAAGTTTGAGACCAGCCTGGGCTACAAAATGAGCTCAAGGCCAGCCTGAACTGCACAGGGAGACCCTGTCTCAAAAAGACAAAAAAAAAAAAAAAAAAAAAAAAAAAAAAAAAAAAAGGAAACAATGTAAAAATCACAGATTTTTACACAAAGATCTGAAAAGAAATTTTAAGGACACGTATTTGAGAAAAATGTTAGGCTGTGAACAGCCTAATGTGAGAGATGATCTATGGCATTTAATATTTGATATTATTGTTTACATTAAAATTCCATTTAAATATTTTTATAAACATAGTAGTCATTATTCCTCTAAGAAAATGTGTGGGCATAGCAGAGGCTATTTCTCAAGAAAAAATTAATGCATGAAGATAATATACTTTTTTGGAAGGCAAGTGATAGCACATATATACTGCCGGTGGAAATAACTCTTATGTGGGTTACTCTGTTATCTTTAGAATTTCTTTGGAGTCCCTAAACGATTTTTTGGTCAAATTATATTTCTTTATTCAGCTTCTCACCTCTTGGTCTGTTTAGAGTATGCATTACCGATATTCTAACCCTAGCCCAAACTTAGCTGACCCTAAGCGCTCAGAAAACAGATGCAAAAATATCAAATGAACAAAACTATATGACCTTTTATTTCAGTCTTTCTCTGAAAATTAGCCCATCCCTTTTGTCCAGAGAGTAAATTGTTTACCTTTGAAAGCCTTGCTTTGTTGCCATGTTTTATTTTTGCACAGAAGTGAGTGATAGGGTTGATGAAGGCAAGGGAACCCGGGATAAAGACTGTAGCTTTTTTGAAGTGTATTTTAAACACCCCCATTGATCAGGGAAATTAATAAGAAGCCAAGTATAGGTGTAGAAATCGCAGTGGTCTCCTCAGATTTCTAGAACCATTTGTTCTAGAACAACATGAGGGCGGGATCTGGCTCACTACCTACTAGCTTTCATTCTTTTACAGGTTCTCTTTTCTCTTTCTCTCTCTCTCTCTTTCTCTCTCCTCCCCTTCCCTCTTTCCTTCCAAAGTGTTGGAGAAAAGGCAAAAAAAGGGGAGGGGCAGGACAGCAGGATTCGTGTGGAATCCCACACAGTGTATAGCATGTAGGAACTGGTGTTCTTTAATTACAACTAAACTTTGTTGCTAGCATTCATGTTTATTGTATTGTCTTTGTGACAATAAAACCGGATTTCCAGTCTCTGTGTCAAATTTGACTAAGGCTAAAAATAGGTTAGCAAGGTTGAGTAGGGAAGAAGGGGCCCAGCTTCTCCTTCCTCCTTTTCATTTTGTCTCAGTTTGAATGAGGAGGTGGCTCACAATGAACTGGAGCAGCAACTGGCTGGATGTCTGCATGCTTTGAGCCAGTTATGATATTTCTGTGGGAAAGTATCCAATTCTTAAGTCTCAGTTCTATAGAAGTAGGAGGCAGCTGGTGTGAATGTCTGCAGGGTAAGTGCACACTAACTCTGATCAATATGGCACAACGGCAATGTGCTTAGTCAAGAAAATAATTATTTCCATTTTTTTGTATGCTCGCCTAAAACTTCTCCATTTTCACCGCTTAAAAAAAAAATCACAAAAAGAAGAAAAAAGAAAAGCCAAAGCTAAGTCACCAAAATATTTTGAGATCTTTCAACCACCTCTACTGAGGCATACTGGTAATGAATGAAATCAAGCTATGTCTAAATGGACCACAATTAATTCATTTTCTTCCTCTACAACTCCACTGTTCTCTCACTGAAATCTCCACTTAATTAAGTACTATCATCACCTCTAACAGTTATCAAAATTTCTTGACTTAATAGTCTAGTTCCCAGTGGCCGCCAAATCCAAAGCATTCTTCCACTCATTTATTCTTGTATTTGTCATGCACTTGATACATATTTACTGGGAACCAGGCACTATGCTAGGCACCAAGCATACAAAGATAAATAAGACATTGTTTTTACCATCACAGTGGGGGGCCCAGAGGATAGGCAAGTGAGTAGGCAATTTCTATACTATGTATGCAAGCTGTTGTGGTAAGGAAGACATAAAGAGTCCATGGGGCCAAATCTAGTTTAAGGTTGTCAGAAAAGACTTCCTAGATTATTATTAATTGCTTAGCTGAGACATTAAGGTTCAGAAATATGTAGCCAGAGGAGTGGTTTAGGTATCTCCCATTTAGCACACTTCTACTGAGCACTGTGTGTAACGCTTTGGGTTAAGACTGCAGAAATAGAAAGACAGACATACCATAGTTCCTGCTCTCCCAGTGGTTAGAGGATGTCACAATAGGGAGAAATAGATATTAAAATACAGGCACAAAATATCTCTATTTATCATGTATCTATCTGTAGGACCCCTTACAGGGACAATTTCCTCTAATATATACTATATTGGGGAATTAAAGTGTTCATCGATTTCCCACTAAAAAGTGCAACTAGCAATTACCAAGAGTATCCAGGGCTCTCTTGGTGGCTCCAGGCTCTGCCCCGGGGCATTCTCCATTAGGTGAGTGCAGAGGGCACTCTTGCCAGCACTTTCCTGTCTTGCTTCTCTAGGCTTCATGACAGAGCCACAGTGTCTTCACTAGGTTACTTAAAGATTATACCATAGGAAAAGGACACTGTAAAAATGATCAGTTACAGTAAGTCTTTCCTCCACAGTTCACGGGAAAGTAAGTTATAGATTCAGTAAGCTTATGCTGGTTGTTCTCTGAAGTGCCCAAGACAGATAAATGCTATCTATGGAGGTTTCATTTGAGATGGAGACAGACAAGAAACAAGTAAACATATACACTGACGACACAATTAGAGACAACCAAGGGAAATAAACAGGGTGATGTTTCTGACAGCTTTTTAAAGGTGTCTCTGTGGGATCACTGAAGAAAGGGACACACACTTCCGGGGCTGAGACCTGAGGGAAAGGGAGTAGCTGGGCTGTGAAAAGGCAGAAAAACCGCGGGAAAGAGACTCCCCAGGGGCCCCGGCCCTCACGTCTTCACAGGTGTCACCTTCTAATCTCCTCACAACATGGCCACCATCTTTCAAGACAGCTCAGGACTATGACTGGGTTGGGGTCGCAAGCAACCATTCAGTCAGGTCCCTGGTCTGTGGGTCCTGTTTGGATGAATTGTTTTCACCACAGAAGTGTGCAAACTTCCCATTCAGAAACCCCGCCGTTGATCTCCATTGTCCAGGAACTCAACCTATTTCTTCATTGTTACTGAACTGGCATGGAAGAGCCACTGAATGGATGATTAATCCCCAATCCTTTGTTTTCCCTTCCTGTTCCGGCCACCTGCTTATTTTTCCGGGCTATATTGTTCTAAGCCTCAATTACATTCCAAGGTCAGGAGGCCACCGGACAACCTCAGGGGCCTTAGACCGTAGCTTGAGCCACCATGGTAATGGCGGCCCCTACACGCCCTGATCCCGCCTGCCCCAGGCAGAGCCCGCGATGACGTCACTCGAAGGCGGGCGGGCCCCGCGCGGGCGTGACGTAAGGTGGGCGGGCCCGCCCGTCGTGAGGTCACCTGGTGGGCGCGGCCAGGCCGAATCCCCAGCGCCGTCACGGGAGAGGCGGGCCAGAGCGTGTCAGCGCAGCCGAATCAAAACAAGCCGGAGACCCGCCTTTTCCCTCCCGCTCTGGAGCGTCTCCACCGCGCCCCCGGCCCG